CTTACCTGAATGTTTTCCATTTGTGAATGTTTACAAAGAAGAAAGATCCAGAAAGGGGATCAGAGAGTTATAAAGCATGATGCAAATATTGGTTCTTATCAAGGAAGACTTGGAAGAAATTAAATTTTCTTCAAACATATCATGCTAAAACAAGGAGATAAGTAGCATAATATATAACATGCTCACATAAGAAATGGACCTTAAACAACAGGATTTTTTTTAACAGAATTTTAGGAACCAGTAGGTAGTATTTAAAAATAGTGGTGTGACTAGAAGTTCTTTGATAAGAAGCCAACCTTTATGTACTTTACAATTAGTGTAAATCTACTAATTGCATTATTAAGCTATTTCCATATGTAAATTTGCTTCACAATGCCTTTGGATTCTAAACCCTTTAGAAGTTGTACCTTTTCCCAAATAACAGCTCAGTGCTGGATGCCTGAGTCCTTCAGGACTGACTCACGAAATGGAAGCCAGTGAACTGTTAATTATATCCAAATAGCAAGAGCAAATGATAAAGGGAGGAAATGAGTAAAATGATTCACTTCAAAAATTATATTTAAATTTAGTTTGAGAGTACCAAATTTCCCTAGAACCTAATATTTCAAAACTGTCATTGGGTTGAATACACACAAAAATATCTGTGTGTCAATTTCGAAGCTATGAATAAGCCATACCGCACAGCAAAATTTGAAACTTAACACATAGTCACACTGAGTTAATTTTTAGATTGTGGCATTGCTTTTAAAACTAACAAGATCCTATGATGGGAACAGTCAGTGGCAAAGTGTAGTGGGTTTGGCCTAATGCTGCTCATGTCATATTAACTTGGGGCCCCAAAAATGTTTGCTTGAGAATCCCCACATCTCCACATAAGACACTGAGGAACCCTGCCTCCAGTTGGTTCTAATTGGTAAATAAAGTTGCCAGCCGCCAATGGTTGGGCCAGGCAGACAGAGGCGGGACTTTTAGGATTCCTGGGCAAGGGAGAGAGAAGAAAAAGAAGGAAGAGGAGCTCGCCATGCCAGGAGAAGGAGGAGAGAAGAGATGCCATGCCTGAGAATTTGTGGGACAGAAAGCATAGCTACCATATAAGAGCAAGGAGAGAGTAGCCCCAAAAGGTCTGCCCGACTGTGTCCAGGGCAGCAAAGATGGACTATAAATTTTAGTAAGTAATAACTTGAGAATATCACAGGGAGATGGGTTAGCTACATGGAGGTTAGGAAGTGGCCCCATCATTGAGCTGATTTAGGCATATCAAAATATAAATTGTGTGTGTGTGTCATTTGGGAACACAAAACATTGGGGTCGGTAGTAAGGAATACAGCCACAGGATCATTTTTAGTAATTAACTGGGTACATCTACAGAGAAGGGACTGAGCCTAAGTGATACCCACCATTCACCTGCCAAGTCCTTGGATGAGTAAGCCTACCCAAGTGCCACCAACTCTTCATTTCCTAGGTAAATATATCATTCTCTGGACCAACAGTATCCATACCACCAAGCATGAGTTAGATCTCAGAAGGAAAGAGACAAAGATGGACAAGATTCCAGATAAACAAATCTTCAAGGAACACACTATTTCCACAGCTTCAGGAGGTTGGTAAAGGGTATTGTCTTAGTTAGGGTTTCTATTGCTGGGTGATAACACTATACCATATACTAACATTAGAACCAAAACCAACTTGCAATGGATAGGGCATATTCCATCTTATTTTGCCACATCATACTCTCTCTTCAGAAGAAGTCAAGACATGAATTCAAGTAGAAACTGGAAGTAAAATAGAGGCAATGGAGGAGTGCTGCTGACTGGCTTGATCCTCTTGGCTTGCTTAGCCTGCTTTGTACACTCCGAGACTCTCAGTCTAGGCATGGCACTACCTACAATGGTTGGGCCCACCCACATCAATCACTAATAAAGAAAATGTCCCACAGGTGTGCATACCAGCTAGTCTTTTGTTTTCTTTTCTTTTTTATTGGATTTTCTAATTTACATTTCAAATGTTATCCCCATTCCAGGTCTTCCCTCTGAAAGCTCACTATCCCATCCCCTCTCCCCCTGCCTCTATGAGGGTTCTCCCCCACCTACCCACTCCCACCTTCCTACCCTGTCATTCCCCTACACTTGGGCATTGAACCCCCACAGGAACAAGGACCACTCCTCCCACTGATATCCAACAAGGTCATCTTCTGTTGCATATGTGGCCTGAGCCATGGGTCCCTCCATGTGTATTCTTTCGTTGGTGGTCCAGTTTCTGGTATCTCTGGGGTGTCTGGCCAGTTGACACTGTTGCTCCTCCTACAGCTTCTTCAGTCCCTTCTCCAACTCCTCTATCTGGGACCCCATGCTCAGTCCAATGGGTGGCTGCAAGCATTTGGCTCTGTATTTGTCAGTCTCTGGCAGAGCCTCTCAAGAGACAGCCATATCAGGCTACTGTCAACAAGCACTTCCTGGCATCCACAATAGCGTCTGGGTTTAGTGAAAGCTAAACAAAGAATTCTCAACTGAGGAATATCGAATGGCTGAGAAGCACTTAAAGAAATGTTCAACATCCTTAGTCATCAGGGAAATGCAAATCAAAACAACACTGAGATTCCACCTCACACCAGTCAGAATGGCTAAGATCAAAAACTCAGGTAACAGCAGATGCTGGTGAGTATGTGAAGAAAGAGGAACACTCCTCCATTGCTGGAGGGATTGCAAGCTGGTACAGCCACTCTGGAAAGCAGTCTGGTGGTTCCTCAGAAAATTGGACATAGTACTACTACCTGAGGACCCAGTTGTACCACTGCTGGGCATATACCCAGAAGATGCTTCAACATGTAATAAGAACACATGCTCCACTATGTTCATAGAAGCCATATTTATAATAGCCAGAAGCTGAAAACAACCCAGATGTCCCTCAAGAGAGGAATGGATACAGAAAATGTGGTACATTTACACAATGGAATACTACTCAGCTATTAAAAACAATGACTTCATGAAATTCGCAGGCAAGTGGATGAAACTAGAAAATATCATCCTGAGTGAGGTGACCAAGTTACAAAAGAATATACATGGTATGCACTCACGGATAAGTGGATATTAGCCCAAAAGTTCGGAATACAAGATACAAATAGGAATCACAGACCATATGAAGCTCAAGAAGAAGGAAGACCAAAGTGTGGATGCTTCAGTGCTTCTTAGAAGGGGGAACAAAACACTCACAGGAGGAAATGTGGAGACAAAGTGTGGAGCAGAGACTGAAGGTAAGGCCATCCAGAGACCCACCTGGGGATCCATCCCATATACAGTCAGCAAACCTGGCTAGTCTTATGGAGGCATTTTCTAAATTGTGGTTCCTTCTTGTCAGACAACTTTAGCTTTTATCAACTTAACAAAAAAGCCACAACCAGGACAAATGCATTTCTCACAAATGAATATTCATTACTTCAGTCAGAGTTTGTAATCCATTTGAATATTATCCCTGAGCTCCATACCAGGTTGGGGTGCCTCATTGGTATCTTTATTTTCTCATAATAGATTTCTTACTCTTTCTTTAAAGTTTTAAAAAGCAGAATTAATAGTTCAAACAAAAAGTACCTTAGAATTCTCAGTGAGGATGTTCTTCGGTTTAAAAATTTCATAATGGGAAGTTCCAACCACACAGAAGTAGACTGACTAGTAGCCCAGTCTTTAGCCTTATCAGCACTTGGTTATTCTGGGTCAGTTACCTTAGGGGTCATCGAGAGTTTTCTATAATGAAATGCATAGCAGATATTTCCCATTCAGACAATCATCTGGACCCATTTAGACAACAAACTAGACTGTGGTTATTATGTGAGCTCAACCATAAGCAACATATAAACAAATATATGACTGTATTCTATTGAAGTTTTGTTTACAAAACAACAATAACAGCAGCCATTTCATCCTCATCACTCATGGTTAATCACATTGATTGCTATCTTCACAGATAAATTTGCCTGTTTTGAATATTGAAACTGTACAGTTGAGCATCTTTTCTTAAATGTAAATTCTAGGCTACCCCATGCTGCCAAGAACATTGGCAGTTTGTCCTTCCATTGTTGAGTAGTATCCCATAATATAAAAAACATTTTACTTTATGTATTTTTTTGCTGATAAACAATTGGGATGTTTACGAGGTTTCGTTATTATGAATAAAACTGCACCCAGTGTTAGTGTATAAATGCTTTCATAAGACTTGAGTTCCTCGGAAAGGATCTGGTAGCTCTTAAGATCGCTACATAAACACTGTGACTACAACAGTAGTTAGACCACTTTACATCTCTTCCAGGATTACATAAAAGACCTTGTTCTGAGCATGTTTAAAGTCCCTGGTTTTCTCAGGCTTTTTAAAATTTTAGCTTTTGTTTTGGTTTAGTGACTTTCATTGTAATACATAGGATTATGTTTTGTTTTTGATTTTTTTTCTTCTACAGGTACTAGCCAGCCAGTACATATCTTTAGTGAAATGTCTTAGCATTTTTGTTCAGTTTTGTTTTGATTATTGACTTAGTCAGAGATTTGAGATGTATTGTCTCATCAGATATAGCTATTACAAATATTATTTTCCCTAGGTTTCCTCTCACAAAAACTGACTTTATTCTTCACAGCATTTTCATATTTATAGAAAAAATGTGTAGAAAGTACAGGGAGTTTCCCTGAATACTTCACAGTCTTTCCTAACATCAACATCTTGTGTGTGTGTGTGTGTGTGTGTGTGTGTGTGTGTGTGAGAGAGAGAGAGAGAGAGAGAGAGAGATTTACTTTTGTTGGTGATAAAACACTACAACTGAAAGTAACTAAGAGAAGAAGGTTTATTTTGGCTTATGGGTTCAGAGGAGCATCCCATAACGGTCCAGGGCAGGAGGCTAAGCAACCACATCTTCACAGCAAACATGAAACAGAGAGTAAAGCAAAAGTAAAGTCAGGCTATGAACTCTCAAACTTGCCCATTCAATGACAAACTTCCTCCACCAAAGTTATACCTCCTAAAAGTGCTGAAGCATCCCTAAACAGGGAAGGGGACTCATCAGCCAGCCATTGTGCCCTCCTGTCTTCCCCAGAAGCAAGTGCTCTTAGAAGATAGAGTAGATGGGAAATAGACGGTCAACTGAAATGGGATTCCGTGGTGCAACCTCCTCGAGGCCATTGTCTTTGCAGTGGTTCAATTGCTTTGGAATCTCACATGCTTCTGCAAGTAACCCTTCATGCATGATGTATATGTAAACCAAATGAAATTATTAGTCACTCAACTGGACTTTAGAGGAACATTTTTCTGTGGCATGTCCCTAGTGCCCTCAGTGAAAAAAAGACTTATTCACATCACCCCAGCAAAAATTAACACAATGATCTATTTTTATTTTTTACTGAGACTTGAAAATACAGTATTTACTCTCCCCTTTTATTTTTACATACCTTTGGTTTGTTGGAGGAATTACCTTGTTAATTATAGATTTCTTTTTGTTCCCCTTTTTTGATGGTATCTATCTCTATTCCAAAAATGAGAACTGTAAAGCATAAGCCCTAGAGGAAGGCTTGGTTAACCCATTTAAATATTTTAACATAAACATTTCATATCCACATCCCATTGAGAAGTACCTAAGACCTCTTATGTGGTTCTAAACTTTGTTATATTAAGTAGTGCAGTGGACTACCTCATTTTTAAACTCCTTTCAGCCTCTCACCAAGTGGTCCTGATGATGCATAATGGCTGTCTGAGGGTATTATTTTCCTAGCAACAAGAAGAGACTTTTATATGCCACCACATTCTCTACATTTATTAGCTAGAATTCTTCTCTAAAGAACACCTTTATACATAACAGTTATTACTTCTACAAATGATACTGGCATTCATAAAATGAATGAACTCAGAATTTTGTCTAATAAGCATAATGGATTTCTATGATGAAACTGAAATAGGCTTGAGTAATTTTATAGTCAATATAATCTAAGTACATAAAAGCCATTGAATACATCACATAGTTTAAAATGTGAAGTCCTTAATTAAAAATTAAGTTATTACAGGAAGTCATGAACTTTACCCTGGTAGTGGATATGACCTTTGCTTGGCAGAAGTGTTTTAAGCTTGGATTGAGGGAGAAGTGGTTATAAGAGGATTTCAATTTTAGGATAAAGTATAAGAGACAGAAGGCTACAGCAGCTCCTCAGCCTATTTGTTGATTGTCAACATCAGGTTAAAATCAAATTTCTTTTTTTTTCTTTTTTTATTATAATTTTTTTTCTCAAATCATAATTCATTCACACAGGGATTATAAACACAGAAAGGCAGGATGTGGGGAAGGGAATGGCACTGGAGTGTGGGTGTTCAGGGAGAATACAGATATCTTCAGAACCGGGTATCGGCTGGGTGAAGGTTCAGGGGACAAGTCACTATGACTCTGCCTATGACTCGCTTGTCCTTATCTAAGTTGGTATTGTCTGCCAAGGCTACCTATTTACAAGGTCTATGACTACTCAGGCTGGTAAATTTCCACAAAAGCTGCCTGTTTACATTAGCTTATAACCATCTGTTTCAATGTTTTTCCACTGAGACCCAAGACTTCGTGTTAGTATACATGTATGAAGGACCTATTGCTGATTTTAGGCCTATGGCTGATTTTAGGCCTTCAGTGTGTAAGCAGGGCTGCCCCTGACATCTCCTCCCATCTCTAAGTATAGAAGGTAAAATACAAATTTCAATCTTGTTTTTTTTTATCAGAATTTTTTCCTCTTTCTCAAAGCAATAGCTTTTTCAAAGTACCATGACTAAGTGCCTAAAAGTGGCACACTTTATCAGTAAGCACTTCAGGCCCAGGGAAGGGAGATGGTGACTGTAATGCATACATATCTATTGTTTCTTTCATTTTGCAAAATTGTCTCTTATAGTGCTTGATGTACAGTCCTGTATATGTGTGGTCCCTATAGTTGTACACACTCTTGTTTATTTCAAAATTGTTTATTTCAAGTTCTTGTTTCTCATAAACATTTGCCTCTTATATTTATTGCTTCGATTATGTTAACCAGGACACTCTTTTGTGTGTTAGATTTCCCTAAACTCAGGAGAACATGAGATATTTTTGAAAGACAAAACATCAGAAACTGATGAAAGTTAGCTGCACATCTGGGCCTGTGCATCCTATACTCTTCATCACAAGCATCCGATCTCTAATTGTAATGTGTGATGACCTAGCATGAAGCAACACTCACCTTGTTCAAATTTCTGACTTTTTTCTCTTGAATTTGATGACTATCATAGTCTGGACTTCTGTAAAATGTCTGTGACAGTAGATAAACCTAGAAACAACAGAAATTTTATTTCTTGTTGTTCTGGAGGTCAGGGAGTCCAAGATTAAGGTAAAAGCAGATTCAATGGCTAAGAAAGCCTGATTCTTGATTCTTCCCTCTATATTTTTCAGGGTAGAAGTAATAAGGCATGTCTTTTGAGGCCTATCATTTTCAAGGACACTAACCCTATGCACAAAGACTCTGTCCTCAAATATAAGAAGTATGCAAGGCTTCAACCTTTCAATGAAGTCATTTGAGGGCTTAGAATTTCAACACACAGATTTGGGAGACAAGGATGCATACATTATTGTGACCATCCTGATATGAGTGACATCACTTTAAAGAAATCACATGTACTCATCCTCTGACTACCAAACTATTAAAGCAATACTCTCAAGGAATTGCAGTTTCCCCAGGCACTCCACACTGAGTGAAGAAAAGGTTAAAGCCTGGTGCTAGGCAGCTGGAAAAGGAAATTGTTATCCAGGTTGAGACATAACAGAAGTCTGACAACATGTTAACCTTACTAGCAGAAACTGAAGTCCAGTCACTTGTGATGCTACATCTTAACCAAGAATGCTTAGTTATGCCAAAGTGATACCCATGTTCATGTGAAAACATCATTTTTCTTCGTAAGCTACTTCTGTTTCTGCCATAAGACATCTCAAAGTAAGTTTGTACAGTTTCTACTTCAAGTGTGAGGACCACAGTTTAGATACCCAGAGTCCATATAAATACCAGACACGGTAGTCCACATCATCTCTCCCAGAGCAATGAAGGTAGAGACAAGGGATGCCTGGAACAAGCTGGCTTGCTAGAGAAGGCAAATCAGCAAGGTCTAGTTCAAGTGAGAGACTCTGCTGAAACAAATAGAATAGAGATAAAAGACACCTGATGTTTACCTCTAGCCTACACACACACACACACACACACACACACACACTACTAGATCCTCAATATTAGAAGAACTTGGTACCTTTGGAAAGGGTAAACACAGGATAGTCAATCAAGGTTTTATTTAATTTGGGGATACAACCTGAGTCCTAACTCAGGTCCAGCCACCAATCTTCAATTCTTAAGCCAATAGAATGAATAGTGGAAAGCCCTGGGAAGAGGGAGAAAGAGTTCTGGCAAACACTTCAAGTCTGTCTTTGGGTCCTGAAGTGAAATTACAGTTTAAGTAGAGGTCCAAGAATTATGTATATCTAAGTAATCCTGGTCAGTATGTGAGATCCCCCCCTGACTTATTCCTTTCTTTCTTCCATCATAAGATTTTCTAGGAGAATTTCAATTTCCTTATGGTCTATACTTTCAACAGTTTCATAGTCAGGTTGAGACAGGCATCCCTTTAGAATATCTTTATTCTGACAGAGCAGTTACAATGGCTCATCAAACAAAACTGGTTGTGAAAGTACATACTAACCAAGGGAGATCAATGATTAACGGTCACACCAAGAAGAGAGAGGAACACATACACTTTCCTTCCCACTCCTCTTCTCTCGGAGCTCTTAGCACCCTAACAGGCTAAAGTGGCTCTTATTATTAGTTATCCTAAGAAATACCAACTAGCCATTGAACTGATCATGGGGTTCTCAATAGAGGAGTTAGAGTGAAGACTGAAGGAGAGCTGAAAGGATTTGCGGCACCATGAGGAGAGCAACAATACCAACCAACTACAGCTCCCAGGGTCTAAACCACCAGCCTGGGAGCACTTAGGGAGGAATCCAGCGTTTCAGTTGAATATGTAAGAGTGGAGGGCCCTGCTGGGCATAGGTGGAAGAAGAGAACCTTGACCTCATGAAGGCTGGATGCCCCAGGGGGTGGGAATTTTGAGGGGGGGGAGGTGGGAGTGGGGGGGGTAGATAGAGGTTACATCCACAGAGAAGAAGGAGGAGGAGTGAGGGGATTGGGGGTTCCTGGGCACGTGGGGGATGGGGTAAGGGGACAACATAGGAAATGTAAATAAAACATCCAATAAAAAAAAAATCAAAAAAAAAAAAAAAGGAATACCATACCACAGACTTCACAGTTATAACCAGGGTCTGAAAGGAAGCCTACAGCTGACAGCTTTTAAAAGGAAATTTCCTTAGCTATAAATAGCTAAACAAGTGTAGGACCCCACAGGGCTGCTATGCCCTGAGTGAGACTTTCCATATGCTGCTGTCTACTAAGTAACATTCTGTGGTTCTTCTAGGATCAAAACCTCCTGACTAAGGCATGGTGTCCCAGGAAGGGAATTTACACTTGACATCCTATTGCCCCCCAGTTGAGTTCCTGTTTTTTCCTGAGTTTGTATTTTTCCTTCCCTGGCTTGGTATATATATTGAACCTGCTCAGTAAAAGTTTTGGCATTCTCTCACAAGGGATGACCTGAGTCTGAGTATTTCTTTAATCCCCCAGGCCTACACCCGAGCTTGGTACCCTGGGCAGCACCGGAGCTGTCAAGTGGAGGGTTCCACTGAGATCGGGAGAGAGAGGAGAACCTGACTGGATCGTTCCTGGAAGGAGCTGGCTGGTTGGTTCAGAGAGTGGAACGTATTGGAGAAGCAGAGCAGGATCAAACTGAAAGCAGCACTATGAGAGTGTGAGCTTTGATTCCCACGGGTATTGTGAGTTCCTTTCTATGTATATTGACACAGGATGATGCAGGTAAGGAATCCTTGTATGAGGTGGAGAATAGCTCCAGCTCTGAGGATCAGGGAGAAATTTTAGAAAAGGAAAAATTGAAGAAATGCAAGGTCAAAAAATTGGAACAGGAGCCTGGAAAAGGGGAGGTGAGAGCAAACGAGCTACTCAGCCCCAGGTGGCGGCAGCCGGGACGGAGCCTCTTTTCCAATAGTCAGCCAAATGTGTTTCCAGCCCTCACTTCCATGTGGCAGAGCGGGTACTCTATAACTGGAATAATGAGTATATCATGAGTTTAATCAGTGACAATGCA